ATGTTTCCACCCCTATGCTTCACAGTAGGTATGGTGTTCTTTGGATGCAACTCAGCATTCTTTGTCCTCCAAACACGACGAGTTGAGTTTTTACCAAAAAGTTCTATTTTGGTTTCATCTGACCATATGACATTCTCCCAATCCTCTTCTGGATCATCCAAATGCACTCTAGCAAACTTCAGACGGGCCTGGACATGTACTGGCTTAAGCAGGGGGACACGTCTGGCACTGCAGGATTTGAGTCCCTGGCGGCGTAGTGTGTTACTGATGGTAGGCTTTGTTACTTTGGTCCCAGCTCTCTGCAGGTCATTCACTAGGTCCCCCCGTGTGGTTCTGGTATTTTTGTGATCATTTTGACCCCACGGGGTGAGATCTTGCGTGGAGCCCCAGATCGAGGGAGATTATCAGTGGTCTTGTATGTCTTCCATTTCCTAATATATGCTCCCACAGTTGATTTCTTCAAACCAAGCTGCTTACCTATTGCAGATTCAGTCTTCCCAGCCTGGTGCAGGTCTACAATTTTGTTTCTGGTGTCCTTTGAAAGCTCTTTGGTCTTGGCCATAGTGGAGTTTGGAGTGTGACTGTTTGAGGTTGTGGACAGGTGTCTTTTATACTGATAACAAGTTCAAACAGGTGCCATTAATACAGGTAACGAGTGGAGGACAGAGGAGCCTCTTAAAGAAGAAGTTACAGGTCTGTGAGAGCCAGAAATCTTGCTTGTTTGTAGGTGACCAAATACTTATTTTCCACCTTAATTTGCAAATAAATTCATTAAATGTGATTTTCTGGAATTTTTTTTCTCAATTTGTCTGTCATAGTTGACGTGTACCTATGATGAAAATTACATGCCTCAATCATCTTTTTAAGTGGGAGAACTTGCACAATTGGTGGCTGACTAAATACCTTTTTTCCCCACTGTAAGTTCATTTTTGAAACATTGGGATATAAATTCTCATAACAGCTATATAAATTACAAACCATGGCAGTTACTGCATTAACCTATTGAAATAACAGCCGAAAGCAGTAGGAAGATATTTGAGAACAAAGAATTTTAGATAAGGACGAGTAGCCTAACCATCGATAGATAAATTATATAGATAAATGTTCTACTCCAATAAAGCAAACCCAAGTATGACACTAGACTGATCGGAGACCGGGGATAAATCCATAAAAGGCTTAATTGAAAGATGGGTTTGGCAAGTAGAAGTTCATGTTACCATGAAAGAGTCGAGTATAAATGCCAAGGGAGACAGGTTTAGGGTAGCCTAGAGACTATTATTTAGGAATCGGAGTAGGGCGATGCAAATATAGGCTATTACAATACCTATTATAATAAATACATGTGCAACGTCCTGTGCAGTGCTGCGAGAACTTCAAAATGAGACGCTTCGCGGGAAATGCAGCCTCTATCTAACCCTATAATAGGTGCAGTTTCACTACAAATTCAGTTCACGTAGCTGTAGATAGGGCCAACAGGGAACGATCAGCTGCCGTCAGTTTCAGCTATAGAGATACTGGACTTTTTCGTTCTAGCCCTGGTTTTTAGAAAACGTTGATGTCGAGAACTAGTCGATGGCACAAGCCTTTGCAAGCGAATAACAGTGCTCTCCCTGGTTGCAACTCGGTTCGGGTGCCCGGTTACTGGTCTTCTGTCTCTTGGGTGTGCTGACTATTGCTATGTTCACTGTCAGCTGCGTTTATTTTCAGCAAACTTAACATGTGTAAATATTTGTATGAATATAAGATTCAACAACTGAGACATAAACTGAACAAGTTCCACTGACGCTCTCCGTAGCCGATGTGAGTAAGACTTTTAAGCAGGTCAACATTCACAAGGCCGCAGGGCCAGACGGATTACCAGGACGTGTACTCCGAGCAGGTGCACTCCAATTTGCATACCGCCCCAACAGATCCACAGATGATGCAATCTCTATTGCACTCCACACTGCCCTTTCCCACCTGGACAAGAGGAACACCTACGTGAGAATGCTATTCATTGACTACAGCTCAGTATTCAACACCATAGTGCCCTCAAAGCTCATCACTAAGCTAAGGATCCTGGGACTAAACACCTCCCTCTGCAACTGGATCCTGGACTTCCTGACGGGCCGCCCCCAGGTGGTAAGGGTAGGTAACAACACATCTGCCACACTGATCCTCAACACGGGGGCCCCTCAGGGGTGCGTGCTCAGTCCCCTCCTGTACTCCCTGTTCACCCATGACTGCATGGCCAGGCACGACTCCAACACCATCATTAAGTTTGCCGACGACACAACAGTGGTAGGCCTGATCACCGACAACGATGAGACAGCCTATAGGGAGGAGGTCAGAGACCTGGCCGTGTGGTGCCAGGATAACAACCTCTCCCTCAACGTGACCAAGACAAAGGAGATGATTGTGGACTACAGGAAAAAAAAGAGGACTGAGCACGCCCCCATTCTCATCGACGGGGCTGTAGTGGAACAGGTTGAGAGCTTCAAGTTCCTTGGTGTCCACATCACCAACGAACTATCATGGTCCAAACACACCAAGACAGTCGTGAAGAGGGCACGACAAAGCCTATTCCCCCCCAGGAGACTGAAAAGATTTGGCATGGGTCCTCAGATCCTCAAAAAATTATACAGCTGCACCATCGAGAGCATCCTGATTGGTTGCATCACCGCCTGGTATGGCAACTGCTTGGCCTCCGACCGCAAGGCACTACAGAGAGTAATAATAATAATAATAATATGCCATTTAGCAGACGCTTTTATCCAAAGCGACTTACAGTCATAGGTAGTGCGTACGGCCCAGTACATCACTGGGGCCAAGCTTCCTGCCATCCAGGACCTCTATACCAGGCGGTGTCAGAGGAAGGCCCTCAAAATTGTCAAAGACTCCAGCCACCCTAGTCATAGACTGTTCTCTCTGCTACCGCATGGCAAGCGGTACCGGAGTGCCAAGTCTAGGTCCAAAATACTTCTCAACAGCTTCTACCCCCAAGCCATAAGACTCCTGAACAGCTAATCATGGCTACCCAGACTATTTGCACTGCCCCCCCTCCCCCACCCCATCTTTTTACGCTGCTGCTACTCTATTAATTATTTATGCATAGTCACTTTAACTCTACCCACATGTACATATTACTTCAACTACCTCAACTAGCCGGTGCCCCCGCACATTGACTCTGCACCGGTACCCCCCTGTATATATAGCCTCCCTACTGTTATTTTATTTTACTTCTGCTCTTTTTATCTCAAAACGTTTTTGTTGTTTTATTTTACTTTTTTATTAAAAATAATGCACTGTTGGTTAAGGGCTGTAAGTAATCATTTCACTGTAATATCTGCACCTGTTGTATTCGGCGCATGTGGCCAATAAAATTTGATTTGATTTGATATGACTAACAGCAATGGAATAATGTGTCCCTGAACAAAGGGGGGGTCAAAATCAAAAGTAACAGTCAGTATCTGGTGTGGCCACCAGCTGCATTAAGTACTGCAGTGCATCTCCTCATGGACTGCACCAGATTTGCCAGTTCTTGCTGTGAGATTTTACCCCACTCTTCCACCAAGGCACCTGCAAGTTCCCGGATATTTCTGGGGGGAATGGCCCTAGCCCTCACCCTCCGATCCAACAGGTCCCAGATGTGCTCAATGGGATTGAGATCCGGGCTCTTCGCTGGCCATGGCAGAACACTGACATTCCTGTCTTGTAGGAAATCATGCACAGAACGAGCAGTATGGCTGGTGGCATTGTCATGCTGCAGGGTCATGTCAGGATGAGCCTGCAGGAAGAGTACCACATGAGGGAGGAGGATTTCTTCTCTGTAATGCACAGCGTTGAGATTGCCTGCAATGACAACAAGCTCAGTCCGATGATGCTGTGACACACCGCCCCAGACCATGATGGCCCTCCACCTTCAAATCGATCCCGCTCCAGAGTACAGGCCTCGGTGTAATGCTCATTCCATCGACGATAAACTCGAATCCGACCATCACCCCTGGTGAGACAAAACCGCGACTCATCAGTGAAGAGCACTTTTTGCCAGTCCTGTCTGGTCCAGCGACGGTGGGTTTGTGCCCATAGGCGATGTTGTTGTCGATGATGTCTGGTGAGGACCTGCCTTACAACAGGCCTACAAGCCCTCAGTTCCGCCTCTCTCAGCCTATTGCGGACAGTCTGAGCACTGATGGAGGGATTGTGCGTTCCTGGTGTAACTCGGGCAGTTGTTGTTGCCATCCTGTAACTGTCCCGCAGGTGTGATGTTTGGATGTACTGATCCTGTGCAGGTGCTGTTACACGTAGTCTGCCACTGCGAGGACGATCAGCTGTCCGTCCTGTCTCCCTGTAGCGCTGTCTTAGACGTCTCACAGTATGGACATTGCAATTTATTTCCCTGGCCACATCTGCAGTCCTCATGCCTCCTTGCAGCATGCCTAAGGCACATTCACGCAGATGAGCAGGGACCCTGGGCATCTTTCTTTTGGTGTTTTTCAGAGTCAGTAGAAAGGCCTCTTTTAGTGTCCTAAGTTTTCATAACTGTGACCTTAATTGCCTACCATCTGTAAGCTGTTAGTGTCTTAGCGACCGTTTTACAGGTGCATGTTCATTAATTGTTTATGGTTCGTTGAACAAGCATGGGAAACAGTGTTTAAACCCTTTATAATGAAGATCTGTGAAGTTATTTTGATTTTTATGAATTATCTTTTAAAGACAGGGTCCTGAAAAAGGGATGTTTCTTTTTTTGCTGAGTTTATTTGTCTAACGACATAAGCAGAAACCACAACAACAGAATCCCCGTCGTAGATTTGGCAAAAGATAGGGTAAGGAACTAAACTCAATCAATTACTGTACTGTTTACAGTTGCGGAAGTAATTGTTGTTCTAGTACAGTTGGCACACTGATAATGGTATCGCTGAGGGCTTCAGTGATTTGAGGTTTGGTATTGTGTTCTATTCCAGTTGTGTTCAGCGCTCGCTCTCTCTCTCTACCACCCACCCATTCCTCTGCTTCTCCAGTTATCCCGTAAGACCAGTAAGTCTTCTCCATCCCAGGTGCGGCTGCTGGCATCCCAGGTAGATGGGACACGTCTGTGGGAAACTCACCTTAGGCCCATCCTCAGCCAGGCCGTACGCCAGGTGAGTGGATTAGGTAGACTAGGTGACAATAATGATGATGCATTTAAATGGTGCCTTTCTCACACCACTTTCAGGTAGGAAAGAGTATATCATTTCCTTTTAAAGATCAATCGAAATACCTCTAGTTCACACCCTTCTCTCTCATGTCTTTCTCTCAACACATCTCCTCCACCTTATCCTCCCTTTCCTCGGGGTCAGGCCACCTTCTCCAACATCATCGCGACCCTTGACCCCGGGACCCCTCGCAGGCTGCTGCTGACCTACCACTACGACTCCAAAGTCCTGCCCCTGGACACCCGCGTCCCAGAGAGGGTGTTCCTGGGGGCCAGCGACTCAGCAGTGCCATGTGCCATGATCCTGGAGCTGGCTTCTGCTTTGGACACCCAGCTCAAAGCTCTCAATCAGCGGGTACCGTGTCCTGTTTTGTCCGTCAATTTATTTCCAGGGACTGCATTTTATATATATTTATCAGTTTAGTCGGTATAGGAGATTTTGTTGAGATAAACAGTCAAATATTCAAAGCAGACCCGTCCCAAGTTGGCAGCAAACAAAATGCAGTAGCACAATGAGCCTAACATTGGGTTACCAGGCATTGTGGTCATAACCTTACATCAGTGTCTGATTTCCCTGGGGACATTTACTTAGAATAAACTGATTTTGACATGGGCAGGGTTATTATCATGTTACACAGAATAAAGACTGCAAGGGAAAGAACAAAGAGAGCTGCTGGGATGCTGGGTTTCTCTCACTACTCTCTATCCCCTCTCTCCTCTCTCTGCAGTGTAGAGTATAAAGGGCTGACTGTAGCCTTGCAGAGAGAAGCGCTGTTTTTAGCAGCAGACTCCTCTGTTTAGCAGTGTCCCCCAGAGACTGATCTTGGCAGTCAGAAATACACTCACACAGCCAAACTGCGACATCCCTGCAGCCTCACACGAAAAGGAAAATCAACTGCAAGAGTGACGTTGTTGCTGGGAAATGAGAATTGAGATGTGATGAAATGACATTGCCTTGGCCTTTACTTGGCTACCAGTTGGCACAGAGCAGAACATTCTCACCACTCTCTCTTTCTCCATCTTCTGCTATTGAACACTACCTCCTCCCCCCTCCCTCTCTCTGTAAGCATCTACTGTAACCCTCCAGCGAGTGTTTTTTGATGGAGAGGAGTCATTTGAGGAGTGGACAGCCACAGACTCTCTGCGGATCAATGCACCTGGCAGAGCGCATGACACACACACCAACCTGCTGCAGGCTGTGGTGAGACACCTTTGTGTGTGTGTTTATTAAAATATGGCATATCCACTCACTCTCAGCTCTCCCTCCATTTTAGGACCTATTTGTTCTACTGGACCTGCTTGGTGGTCCAGACCCTTTGATTGTAAATCACTTTGACAACACTGCCCGCTGGTTTGACTGTCTGCAGGTAACACAGGGAGGGTCACTTCCCTTATTGTCGTTGTCTTTCTACACTCTGCTTTAACTCTCCTCCATCCATCTCTCTCTCTCTCTCTGAGAAGAGGCTGCACAGGCAGGGTCTGTTGACCTCTCACCCCTCTGAGCAGACCTACTTCAGGAAGGACGTGTACCTGGGCCCTGTGCAGGAAGACCACATCCCCTTCCTACGTAAAGGTGAGTGAGAGGGTGTGCTCATATACAAACTGACATACTATCACGACACTACTTCGCCTCGGCTGATGGAATGTTGTCTTATGAAATAATTTCAATCCTGCATTTCTTCTGTTTCTTTCACACCAACTCAGGTGTTCCTGTGTTTCATGACATTGCCACCCCATTCCCCCTGTTCTGGCACATGCTGGATGGCACTGAGGAGAACCTCACCAAGGTTCTGGCTGTGTTCCTGGCTGAGTACCTGGGCTTCTAACCACACCTGGACTCACCATTGGACTGGTCCCATAAACCAGAACCGGGACACCTTTTAACCTCAGTGTAGGAAATACACAGATGGGATTGGGGGCAATTTTGCCATGACATTGCAAAAGACTAGGGCAGATGGATGTTCCTCTGTCACTGGACCCACTGGACAGGTTCCATCCACCGAAGCCAACAGACTCATAGACACATTGATCGGAGAGCAGAACTACCATGAAGTTACATTGCTAGATTTGGCAGCTTGTATCATAGAAAACCCTTGATGTACACGTTCATGAAAAAGAACTGGAAGAGTCCTTTCTGTGAATTGTTATATTCTCATTGATTGTTTTAAGTCTTAAGGAAAAAGACAACGCTAACTGAATCCTTTCTTTATGCTGTATAATCATGATCATCAATTGTGATTTGCCAACACTTGATTTCTGTGAATATCAAATTTGAGACTTTTGATTTCATGCAATAAGCTCACAGCCGACATTTAAGGTTATATTCACGGAGTATGACAGTGACCGAAAACTTGAAATGAATAATGAATGGCACTAAAATGGTTGTCAGTGCTTTTGATTTTACTATCACTGTATATCTTCTGTATGCATTACCTTTCCCCAAGGGGATTCAGGCATGTCTTGGTTTAGCCATGGAGTTGTATTTAATCTCTCAATGTGTTAGATTAATTTGTATTTTAAGAATAATGACTAAAGGATTTCACCCCAAATACAGTATAAATGTGTGAACTGTGTTAGAATTATAATGTATTGTCAACCTACTAACAGAGGGGGGCGGGGACTGAGAAAACGGGTTACAGGGGGCCTCCTAGAGGTGGGCGGAGCAGGGTGCCTTTGTGTGTCGAGGTATAAAACAGGAGTGTATGGGTTTTGGCGCCAGAGCTCTCCATGAATAAAGAAACAGATAATCCTTGTTGGTTGTGGACCTTGAATCATTTATGATTAAAACCAGAGCCTTACAACCTCTGGTAATGATTCAAGCTTAGGGTTGAATTAGAGATAGAAATTCTCTTAACAGAGTGGTCCTTCGAGCCGGATCTTAAATACGTCTTTGTCGTTCTAGAAACACCGAAACCGTGCACGGGCGGATGATTGCATCCATGGAGAATAGTCCTGGCCTTCGACGTTAAGGTTATAAACAGGCCGGTGATGACTCTTATGAACGATAAAGACGTTAACGAGTTTGAAAAAGCATTTAAATCCAAACTGAAAGGAAAAGGTCAGTAATTTTTATTCATGGGTTTTGGTGAAATTATTTGAACTTGTGTAAGAATAAATAATTATTGTGAAGGGCAGAGAAAGTTACCAAAATCGCAAAGGAAGTAATAATTATTACTAAACGGGGAGGGTCCGAAATTGACCCTAGGTAAATAGCTATTACCAAAATAATCTAGTCCGAAATGACACGGGGTTAAAGGCCATCACCAATGTAAACTAGTTTTTATTGAGATTGTACTGGGTACAGTGTTACGATAAACAGGGAAAGGGATGATTTTTGTTGTGTGCTATGGATACATAAAACAGGTCAAAAGTCGCGTAAACAACTGGGGATTTGCTATAACTGTCTGTTTCATGAAACTGGAGCAGTTACAACCTCTAGGTTACAAATAGGTTTGGAAAATGATTGTTTAATGTTGTATACGTGTGAGATTTGAGAATCCATTGGAATACGTGATAATTGTTTCAAGGAAGGAGCTAAAAATAAGTTGCGTGAGAAAAAATGGTTTTCTGACTATTTTCATGAAACCGGAGTTTTAAATAAAACATTCTGGGTTAAGGGTTAAATAATTTTAAATGGTTAATTACAAAAGCAGATCATAACATTGGCTCGAGAGACGCACTGATAATAGCTCCTAAGAGAATAATTCTGGGTTGAATTATTACTAAACGGGGGGATTTCTTATTTTTTCCACCATGGGAAATAAATCTTCTAAGAGGTCCGAGAATTAACGGGGGATTGAAAGATATATGTTAGGAAGAGATCGAATAAATATGTTTTATGGATCCATTTGGGAGAAGAGGTAGAGATTTATTGGGCATCTAGATTAAAAATTAGAAGTTATGATTGCATGTAAACTGTGGAACGGATTTGAAAAAAAACAGCGAGGGGAGGGGCTAAGGGGAGGGGTGAGTAGCGGTTAACGAGGCTTTTTAAGCGCGAAAGTCTTTAAACGGGAACAAATGGAATTTGATTAACCACTGCGTGACTGGCAACACGGGTGAAATAGGTTAAGGGCAGTGGGTCCTGGAGATGGAACGGATGGTGAATACTGGGTGGGGGGATCAACGGGTAAAATGTTGAAAAAATGGTATGGCAAATAGAGTGTCGATAAGAGTGGCGAGAAAATACCGGTCGCGGCTGGGGGGAGCAAGCGATTAGTTGGAGTAGGTAACTATAAATTCCAACGATGCTGATGTCAGAACGTTCCTGAGGCTCAATGACGTATACTGCTGCGTGTTGGAGAAGTCGAGAATAGCGGTATCGTGTTTGCATTGTGTGGGTGGGGTTTTTGGAGGTGGTGTGGGGGTGGTGGGGGTGGGGGAAAACAAAAAAACGAGGGGGGGTGTTGTGGGGGGGAAAGTCATTTGGCAGACGCTCTGGCCGGATCGACTTGCAGAGCATGGGGGGGTTGGGTCCTTCTTGGGGACAATCAGCATTTTTTCGCTGTTGGCCTCGGATTGGAGGCCCGCACCCTGCGGTTTACTGAGGACACGGTCTCTGTTTGCCTGGGAAGAGGGTAAGTGACAAAACTATTGAAGGGGGGTGTTGCTCAAGGGGGCCGTGAATAAAACCTTCCTGGTGTTATGGGCTGTGATCTATTATAATTGTCCGTTGTGTTAGGTTAGGTTAAGTGTTGGATGGGAGAATGGGTGGGTAAGGGGGTTTACTGGTAATCGACCAGAACACATAAGGGGATGGGTTTCAGCAGTTGGGTGCATATAGTCAAAAGGAGGATACCACGATCAAAAAGGTATCAAGTGCTCTACCACCTCTAGCTTGTTTTTCGGTGCGTTACCGCGTACTCTCTAATTCGGTTACGATAAACTCAACTGGTGAGGTGGAATTCAACCTCTGGAGTAGGGTCTAAGCAAAGCTTACGACTGAGTAGGGGAAGCAGAAAGGGGACTGGAACGAAAACCACTGGGCAAATTAAAGGGGACTATTAAATTGCAGAAAAGCTGTAGGAGTATCGGAGAGCCTATGAATAGTCATCAATAATGCTGGGGTGTGGGGCCTACGGTTGGGCGATTATTGATGCTTCTCACGCTCCATTAATAGGAACCCCACTAGGATGAGAACAGGTGAGAGGGGAAGTGATTCTGGAAGACCGACCAAAAAAAAATAAAAACCGTGGTAGGGAAATATAATGGGGGTGGGATGGGATGGGAATAGCCTCATAGTTCAGATGTAGAATGCATTAATTAGCTTACAACGATATCAAGTATAAATGTTTATGATTTGGCCGACTCAGAGAAACGGTGAAAGAGACATTGAATATCTGTGCTGTCTAGACTTAGCCGCCGCGTGTGTGTTAAAATATTAGGTGCGGAAAATACAAAGAGGTGTACATTTAAAACGAGAATGTAGATGGTGGGCTCGTGTACGGAAGCCACGTGGCTTGGCCTGTTGTGCTGGGGAAATAGCGCCAGGCCGGTGGTGGGTTCTGGATTTGTTATAAGAAACGTATATTTAAACTAAAGTAATGGAATGGCACAAGGATGGGGTGTGGGGGGGGTGGGATGTAGACATGAGCAGAAACGGGCACATATATATTCGTATGGTGTAGGGTTTGTCGGACAATTGACGAGTGTGCGTGTGAGTGAGTGGGGGGGGGGTTATTGCGCGGTGGTTGCGGGTCATTGATTCATAATAGAGAAGGAGAGTAGAGAAAGGCAAGGATTAAAGCGCAGTAGGGAAGAAAAGATATGAAAATGCGGGGAAAAGACCATTAACTGAGGGGAACCTGGTGTATTCTGTTGGGCCGTTGTATTGTGGTCTTGGTGGGATTGGTTTCGTCGCACAAACACAGCGAAAGAGTACAGGTACAAGGACAGGAACAAAGAAGGGGAACAGATGGGCCAGGGGGGAAAACCAAATAATGTGTGGTGAATTGGCATCGAAAATGGTGTCAGAGAAGAAGCACATTCGCAGTTTTAGGGTAATCCCATAAATATCATGGGACACTAGGGCTCGGTAACCATGAATTTTTGGTGGGGGGTGATGGATTAGTTTAGGAGACGTAATGGAACAACATTTGAGGGGTTAGGACTGGGGATATCTTGTCATTTTTGTGTGTACCACCATCTTTTAGATTAACTGTGGTAATTGAAGGTTACCAAATTATAACCAGAGAAAGAGATTAGCTTATCGTATTGGAATGTGCTAAGGGAAGCAGTAGGAAGTTAGGATCTAGCAGAAACGGAGGCTACGGCCGGGGGACCGATTCCGCATGTGAAGTAGTCAGGACGCGGAATGGAATGCGGGGGTGAGGTGGCATGTGGGGGAAGTGGGTGGGTTGGGGTGGTGGCACAGGGTGGGGTGTGTGCGGGAATCCGAGAATACAACTAACAGACAACCCGCCAAGTGATGTTTAGACGGGTGTGGTGGAGTAGTTGAGGAGTGTGAGGGATGTTCACATTCAGGGGTGGTGTTTACTATGCTTAGGAGGGACGGTTTGGTTGGGGGGGGGGTGGGGGGGGTGGGGGGCAAAGGGGGGGGGGGTAGCTATTGTGTGTTGAACTTCTTAGGATTAAGCGTCTGGAGGAAACGTCAGAATCAGGAATGTTCAATCGAAGAGGGGGCGGGTGTGTCTTGGCGTCGGGGGGTGGCGGGCGGGGGCTATCGGCTGCGTATTGGTGGAGTGGTGGTGATGCAAGAGGGAGCAGTAGATAGGGACTAGAGAAAAAAAATGATACGAAGGAGGAGCGGGTTGGTAAGGATAGACGGCGGTAAAGCGTGGGACTCCATATGGGCGGGGTGTCAGAC